AAAGAGACAGACTTGTCCTAGAAGGCTATGACAACACATAGTTCAAAAATCTAAATGAATGAATAAAATAACTCTGCACTCTAGTCCTATAACACCTCAATCTATGAAACTTTAGCATTTATCTAAAAACTTTTCACAATAACTTTTAAAATTGGGCTGTCTTATACTAATGTCTGTGAGCAGGACAGGTAATGAGGAAAAGCAAGTTTAGTAAATGTTAGTGGTGGAACTTAGGCCACGGGGATACGGGCATTTGCTATCCACTTTTCTATAAAATCTGTAAGATGTCAGCGGAAGTTGCTGGCTTGGGTGTCAGGAGTTTGAAACCTCTGAAGAGGACCAGATGCCCTGGAAGCTACCCTTCCGCCCCTGCCCCCACCCCTCCTCCCCAAGGAGACTAAGGCTGGGATAATATGCCATGCTGGCAAGGCTCCCATATACGTTGCTGGTGGTACAATTCCTCTGGAGGGTCATCTGGGAGTATCCATCAAAACTCCAAGTTCACATGCCCAGCCATGCCACTTCTAGAAACTAATCCTAGAGACCTACCCTTGCACAGGAGCAAGACCATTTTTGTACATGGTTATTAAATGCAGTTCTCTTTGTAGCAGCAAAAGATCAATCATAATCTAAATATATCCAACAAGGGGGGCTAGTTATGACACATCTGCAAAGTGAATTTCTTCATGTATTAAAATCAAGAGCTCGGGCTTCCCTGGTGGCGCAGTGGTTGAGAGTCCGCCTGCCGATGCAGGGGACACGGGGTCGTGCCCCAGTCCGGGAAGATCCCACATGCTGCGGAGCGGCTGGGCCCGTGAGCCACGGCCGCTGAGCCTGCACGTCCGGAGCCTGTGCTCCGCAACGGGAGAGGCCGCGGCAGTGAGAGGCCCGCGTACCGCAAAAAAGAAAAAAAAAAAAATCAAGTGTGGATGAGAATATGGAGCAACTGGAAAGCTCATGCACTGCTGGCCTGAAAGCACAGTAGGTTGTTCATTTTGGAAAACCTTGGGCAGCAACTCCTAACACTAAGCACATCCCTGCCCCACTCCGGGACCCAGCCACTCTCCCCGTGGCATGTGCAGGAGCGTGTGTGTCTATCCCCACAAAAGATAAGCACAGGACTGCCTAAAGCAGCTTTGTTCCTAAGAGCCGAGAACTGGAAACAACCCAAATGTCCATCAGAAATAGAATGGATAAATTACAGCTTGTTCACACAGTAGAATACTACACGGCAATAAAAAATAAACCAGTACACAACACCTATGAATCCCACAGACATTATGCCGAGAAACAGAAGCCAGACACAGAAGAGAACGTGCTGTGCGAATCTATTTCCATAAAGTCCCAAAACTAATCTATGGTGAGAGTGTTGGGGGGACGAGGAGAGGTACTGCTGGGGAAGAGGTCTGAGGAAGCACCGTAGGGGGACGGAAATGGTCCATATACATGGAAAAATGTATCAAGCTGTGTACTAACAACGCGTGTAGTCAGTATAAAAGTTGTAACTCAACTGAAATGAAAATCCCTCAGAACAGTTTGGCGGTTCCTCAAAAAGTTAAACATAGAGCTACCATATGACCCAGTGATTCCATTCCTAGGTATGTACACAAAATAATTGAAAACACATTCAGTTCTGGACCCAAACAAACGCTGGACACTAGTGTTCAGAGCAGCACTATTCACGATAGCCCAAAGGTGGAAACAACCCAAATGTCTATCAACTGATGGATGGATGAACAAATCGTGGAATAGTCGTACAAGGGAATATTATTCAGCCACAAACAGGAATGAAGTACGGATACCTACTACAACAGGGATGAACCTGGAGAATAATATGCTGAGTGAGGGAAGCCAGACACAAAAGATCACATGTTGTATGATTCCAATTAAGTGAAATATCCAGAACTGGCAAATCTGTAGAGACAGAAAGTAGAGCTGTGGCTGCCAGAGGCTGGGGGGAGAAGGGAGATGGGGAGTGAGCACCTAATGGGTGTGGGGTTTCTATCTGGAGTGACGACATGTTCTGGAACTAAACAGTGGTGACGGATGCACAGCACTGTGACTATGTTAAAGGCCGCTGAACTGTTCACTTTAAAATAGTTACTTATGTTACATGAATTTCATCTCAATTTTTTAAAAAGTAAACAAGCAAAAAAACTATGTAAAAAAAAAAAAATCTCTCCGGAACATACACTGGTGAAGACCCCATTTGCTGCATCTCCGGAGTCCAGTACAGCCAGATTTTCCCCTGGGGATGGACAAGACAGACACTACATTGTCCAGAGAGCCCCAGCTCACTAGAGGCCCTGGCCTTAGGGCCCATGCTGTATGAAAGCTCCTCGTCTTCAGCCACGAGGGGCACGAGCACTGAGGGGACACATGGGAGACGCAGCCGGCGGGCAGGGCGTCACAGCCGCTGCGTGTGGTCTCCTCTGGAGCCTACAGATCCCAGCTCTGCAGCTCTAGCTGGGTGATCAAGGGCAAGGTCCTTCCTTAGTCTCTCTAAGCCTCTTTCTCCCCTTCTGTAAAATGGGAGTAAGAACAACATTTACCTCACTGAGTCCAGGAGAATGCAGTGGGCTAGAACAAGTAAGGCACTTGCAACGGATTGGCCCATCCTGAGCTTGCAATAAATGGACCCAGGCTATGTTAGTCAGCATCAATGCCACTCAGTGCTAAAGTTCCTGCTGGAACTCTTGTGAGATGCACTTCTTTCCACCGGAATTGCTGAGAGCACTGGATCTAAGCCTGGGGCTGCTGATCACCGTCTTTCTTAGAGACCATCTGCCTAGAAAAGGAGACAACACAGGGAGAAGCACTGCTGGAGCACCCGGACACAGCCTTGCCTGAAGCCATCGACTCTGCACTTTTATGTTACGTGAGCCGATATTTCTTTTTCTGTTAAGCTGGTTTGATTAGGTTTTCTGTCACTTGCAACCCAGAAAGTCCTGCTGATCCTGAGGCGGAACACACAGAATGGCTTTTGGAGTTGCTTCGGTGCCACACCTCCGTCATTTGCCCTGGGAGTTCCGTAGCCAGCTGCCAGTGGACACTCCTGCCCAACAGGCTCGGGCTCCTCCGGGAGCCTTGGGGCAAATCATCAAGGCCACCCAACCTCACTCCTTCACACCCGAAACCCTTTCTTCCCCTGATGCTCCTGTCCCCTCATTTCTCCTCCCTCTTCCCCTTCTCAGAGACTGTCTTCTTTCCTGCTTTCCTAAGAGGATGAATTAAGGACCAATTAAGGCTGAGTGTGGAATTTGGAATCATCCACCCCAGACAGCAGAGATCAAGCATCAGGTAATCTCTGCTGAGATTACTTAACCTCTCTGAGACTTGCTTTGCTTTTCTGTAAAACGGATATAATACTTCCCATTCGTGAGTCTTATAAATACGCCGTGCGCACCGTATGGCCCATAGGAAGTACCCATCCACGTTGACGACTATTATTAACCCTTACCTCCTCTACCCAGTCCTTGGCCCATTAATGCCCATTGCCATCGGTGACCTTGAGGACTAAAGAGGAGACCAAGCCCCTGGCCATCTCCCGGGTGGTCTCCATGAAATCATCTGCAGACACTGTTAGCTGATGACTTAACTCTTCAAACGAGGTCCACCCCAGTGAAATGCCTGCCTGCTCAGCCAGGTTTTAAGAATATAAATACCACCATCGGCAAGATTCAAAGCCCAGGGCCGGGTAATGACTACCCCTCTTGGGCCTTAGTCTAAGGCAGGTTCCAGCCTGCTATGCAGGGCCTGGAGCTTCTCTTAGGTGAGGCTGTAGCAAACAGCCTCGCCTTGCATGGAGCATTTCACCTCTGCTTAAGGAATAAGAAGCACGTGGGAACTCTGCTGCCGGCCGTCTCAGTCCCCAGGCTCAGCACTCTTACAGCAGAAATGGAACAGTCTATGTATGAATGGACATTAGCTAGAGAGGCTAGGAAACCCATAACTGAACTTAGCCTGTGAACGAATTGGAACAGTATGCCCACCCTACACCATCACTGGGGATGCTCCTGGGCTGTGATATTATTACTGGAGACTTTTCCATTCACAGAGCACTCTTCAAACATCCTGCTACTTGTGTAAGATGCTTACCATCACATGATGCTGAGGTCACACCCCAAGCGCCCTTGCATAACTGGGATTCTCTCGAAATGACACAGATCAGTCCAAGGCATTCTGGAAGTCATGGAATATAGTTTTGTGAGCTGGGTGTAGGCTTTGGAGCCAGTCCCTCTGTAAGGATTGGGAACTGAGTGGTGAAAATGAAGTACATTGCCTGCATTTGACTTTTTTGAGCGCAGTGCAATGCAGAGCAGAGTTTTTTATACCACTGTCTCCTCCTCTACCCTACACTGCAAACCCCTGAGGGGCAGGGTGGGTCTCGTTTGGCTTTGCCTGCTAACAAGCTGGCTTAGTTTCCTGTTCTGCTAAATGGGGATCCTAGCGGTTCCTGTTTAGTAGGGCTGCTGTAAGGATGAGTGACGGCTGCCTTTGCTGAGCCTGTATCCCGCGCAGGGCACCTTTCTAAGTGTGTTACAGGCATGACCTCATCTAATCTGGGCAACATCCCAATGAGACAGGTACTAGTGGCATCCCCAGATAAGAGGGATTTACAGATGAGGAAACTGACGTGGCAGGGGGCCTGAACACCTTGCCTGAGGTCACAGACCTAGCAAGTGCTGGGGCCAGAACTGAACCCAGGCATTTGGACAGTGGAGCCCAGCTTTCCGACCACCGGCCCCACTGATCCCTGGTTCAACACGATGATGGATGTGAAACACATACATGGCACGGCATCTGCACCCAGCTGTCCATAAACTGTGCATCTGATTGTCATTCATGCCCTCCACAGGACTCCACACACATTGTGGGACATCCACTAGTCAATATTTAGTGAATGGACTAACGCAGTTGGTCATGAAATACTGGTTGAGCTCGTGCCATGCCCAGGGTACTATTCTAGACACAGGGAATGGAGACGTGCGAGGCCCCTGACCTCCTGATGCTTCCATCCCAGTGGGAGAGGACAGGCAGTGGCCTTAGAGTCAGCTAGAGTATCAGATATAGTATAATGTCAGAGGTGATGTGAAGCAGCCCAAAGGGAAAGAGATAGACAGGAGCTGAAGGGGAAACAATTCATAGTTTGTTTGAAAATGTGGAATTTTAGAACCAGAGGGGCAGTGAGAAAAGTCCCAGAGGGGATGTATTTGTGACTCTGTAATGCTTTGGTCAAAGTAAATGCCACCACATCGCAGTGAAAGTTATACCAGGGGTTTTGAAATGGCAACAGAGAGGGATGGTTGATGAGGTCGACCTGGGGGTGGACTCGTTACACACACACCCCTGCCCACCCCGGCTTTCAGAGCCGACGGCACAGTGTGAAGACAGGACCAGGCAGCCCCCAGCAGATGGCATCCATGCACGCCTCCCCTGCCGGCCAAGCTGAGCTGGGAAGGGGCCTCCCGAATCCTGTATTTTGCCTTCTTTTGAGTGAGTGGCCAAAAGCTCAACGCAGTCTCAATCAGGACGTCCTTCATCTGTGACCAGTACATAAGAACCAAGACCACCGCAATGGAAGTTCAACGGGGTAAATAAAATGTAGATGCTAAACCCTGAGTTGCAGCAGCTGGACGAGTGAGAGGCCAGTGGAGACGGGGATTCACAGGTGCAGGACAGTATGGCCAGCTTTCCTGGGTGCAAAGCATGCAAAACGGGGTGGGTAGATTTGCAGAACACTGGACAAGGAGAAAAAGAACTCAGGTCTGTGTGCAGTTGTCCTCCGACACCAAGCCTTGGGCCGCACGAGCGGCATCCCGAGGAGGCTGTGATCTGCAGGCTTCAGCTTCCCAGCTGCTCTCGCCTCTGAGACCCCCCGGGAGCTCGGTGGTGACCTCATTAGCATCCAGTCCTGTGCTCCGGAGGGGATCCGCTGTGCAGGGTCCAGGTTGAAGCCGGCCAAGAAATCCTTGAAGAGAGCCAGGGACAGAATTTAAAGCCAACAGAAACAGCAGTTTCTGACCCAGGGTTCCCCACGGTCTGTGGAATTCCATGAAGGAGGTGATGTTAAGATGGTCAAGGAAGACCACCGGGGCCCCTACCCCAGATCAGCACCTTGCTGTCCCTGTCTTGGGCTGATCAGACCCCCAAAGAGGGTAGGGGCCACCATGTCATGCCATGTCCCAGCAATGGAGCTCTTGCAAACTGACACGGAGAGTGGCCTCAGAAGAAGGGGAGAAATGACAGAAACATGGGAGGAAAGCCCAAAGTTATCACAATTATCAAAACTCTCCCAGTCAAGTTGGATTTGGAGTGCAAATAACAGGCCCCACTTCGCAGGCCCAGCCCGGCAGACAAAGTGTCAGCTGTGGTGACACATCGTGTTTGTCCTCTGCCTCTGGCAGCTGAGTACTGGCTTGCTTGGCCATCCGCAGAAGAAATCCATCTTGACAAGAACATTCTAATTCTATTAGGAGGCGTCTGAGCCAGGCATTTTTGGCCCTTCCCTGCCTCTCTGGGGAGCACGTCAGGACCAGCCATAACACAGGCAGGGGAAGAGAAAGGACCGGAGGCCCTGAGCTGGGATCTACAGGAGCCGAGAGGCACTTCATTCTGCAGGGTTTATTGATCGCACAAAAGTGCTTCCACCTGGGACGGGAACCAGCAGGGCTCCTGTCCCAGGACAACCAGTCCAGCACTGTGGACAAGCTCTGGAGTTTGGGAGACAGGCCTGGATTCAAGTCTCAGCTCCACCACTTTCTTGCTGGGAGCCTCAGCCTCAGTTGAGGCCCTAAGGCCTCTCTGAGCCTCAGTTTCCTGATCTGTAAAATGAACATAATAATGGCACCAACCGCAAATGATCTTCAGGAGGACTCGGTGAGATCGCGCTCATCAAACACTCACCAGAGCTTTAAACGTTGTATGTGCTCCACGAGTGCCTCTGAGGCCCTGTTAGCTTAACTGCGGTTGCCACAGTGAAGGGCTTCTGTGTTCCAGCGACTGTAGGGCTGCGCTTTGTCTGGTGCTCTCAGGCACCAGGGACCGTGCTAAGTGTTTTACAAACATCGTTACCTCACTAATTTTCCCAGCAAACCTACGACACTGGGACCATTGTTGCATCAGTCAGAACAGTTCTGATAGCAGGTCACAGGTCAGCCGATTAAAAGCAGAGAGAACAAGGGGGAAGGTGGGTTTTCTCCCAGCACTCGATGTCTGCTGGCAGGCTGTACCAGGTGGGATTGGTGTCCCCATGAACTCTCCGAGGACCAGGCTCTTTCCATCTTCCTGCTCCCCCATCAACTGCAGACTGGCTTCTTCCCTCATGGTTACGGAATGCTGCTGCAGCTCCAGGTGTCACACGCAGATGTGACAATACTCTGACGAGCGGCATTTGTCCTGTCCGTCTCTACTAGGAGGGGAAGCCTTTGCCCTAAACTGAAGGCACGCAGGCCGCCAGTGTCGTCTGCCAGGACTGGGGCAGAGCCCTCCACTGAGCCCCACCGTTCACTAGCAAGGAATTAGCCCGACTGTTCATCTCCCATAGTGGGAGGTGGGCTTTGCCAGCAAGGAGAAGGACTTGGGCGAGGGAGACAGTTGATAGCGTCTTCTCAAATGTTCCCCCATCCTTGACGAGGAGAGGCGAGGTGCAGAAAGATGAAGCTGGGTGTCTGACATCACACTGCTGGCAGGTGGTGACTCCAGACCCACAGCCTGGCCACTAGTCTTCCTGACCTTTCCGACCTACAGCATTTAAGAAATCCTTCCCTACCCAAAGTCATGTGCTTTCTTTTTTGAAGTTTTGTTTTTCATACATAGGTCTTTTTTTTTTTTTTTGATGTGGACCACTTTTAAAGTCTTTATTGAATCTCTTACAATATTGCTTCTGTTTTATGTTTTGGTTTTTTAGCCCCAAGGCATGTGGGAGCTTAGGTCCCTGACCAGGGATCAAACCCGCACCCCCTGCATTGGAAGTCTTAACCGCTGGACCGCAGGGAATTCCCACACGTAGGTAAACCACTTTGAAGTGAATTTTGAGTATGATACACAGTAGGAATCAAAAAAAAAAAAATTTGACGTGGAAAAATGGTTGTCATAGCAACTAGTTTTTAAAGTAGCCCATCCTTTACCCTTATCTTCAAGGTCACCTGAGTCATGGAACAAGTCTCCACTCATCTATTTATCCACCACTGTTGCAACATCAGCTTCTCTCAATAACTAGAGCTTTGTAACAAGCCTTATGTCTGGTAAGTTAAATCGGCCCAACTTCTTCTTCCAATTTATCTAAATTATTCTTGCCCTTTGTTTCTCCATACAGTTTTAGAATTGATTTGTTAAGTCCATTGAGAATGCAAATTCCAAAAAGAATTATTGGAATTTCAGGGGATCTAGGTTAATTTGGACACATTCTTCTTTTTATAATACTGAGTCTTACATCCACAAATATGGCATATGTCTCCATTGATTCTGGTCTTCTTTCATGACCTTAAACAATGTTTTATAATTTTCCCTGTAAAGGTTTCATCAATATTTTCTTAGTTATATTTCAAAAACCCACACTGGAGTGAAAAGGATCTTAAATGAGAGACCAAGTAGGCGGCCGGGTCTGCGTATAAGATTCTATGTAACTGCTCCCAAAACTAGGAGCTGTAGGAACAGGAAGTGGCAAGAGACGGGGTGGGCAGGGGAGTGAGGAAGACTTACAGGGGAGATTGTCCCCAGGAATGGACAACACCGACCAGAGGAGGGAGGTGGCATTCTGCATGAGGATGAAGGATCATGTGGGAGACTGCAGGTGATGGCTGGAGCGAAATAAACAGGTGAGATTGCCAAGTTCTATGGAGGCAAAGCTGATGTTACAGTTAACAAACTCCAGGATCTTGAAGGGGGTCAGAATATAACCTTTAGCCAACACAGACAGACTTTTGATCAAAGTGATGGAAATGGACAAAAAGATGAAAAGATGTGACCAGAGTTTTGAAAATGTGCTTATACTGACCTACATTTTCATCACAATTGTAAGATGATGATGATAATAATAACAGTAGTAGTAATAATGACAGTTAATTTTTACTGATCACTTTCTATGTGCTAGGCCCCATTCTATGCTCTTTACTTATGAATGTTTGTATTAATGAATGAATGAGTGAAATGTGTTGATTCATTTAATCCTCCTAACAACCTAGGAGGCAGATACTTTACCATCCTCCTCTTAAAGACAGAGAAAGTGAGGTCCAGAGAGACTGATAATTTGCCCAAGGTCACACAGCTAATAAGTGGCAGAACTCAAGTGTGAACCCGGGAACTCTGGCCACAGATCATATGCTATTAGCCACTACAAAAACCAAGGTGAATTGTGCCTGCAGCTGGGAAGTTGGGCTGCTCTCAGGGAGGTCCTGGCTCCTGGTCCTGACTGCGGAGCCATGAAGCAGTCCTTTGATAGAGACGCCAAACCAACTCCCCATCAAATGCGGTAGAAATAGAAGCCACTGGTCATTGGATGCCCTGTGATTTTGGGACAATCACCTGAGAGGTTCCCCAACCACAGATTTGGTGCCTGCTCCCCTCTGCCTGCCCCCTGTTATTTTCTTTCCAGAATTTACCTTGTCTAGACAACATGCTAATGAGTTACCTGAGAAGGTCTGGATGGCTGGTAGTGTCTCTTAATGAAACCCATTTGCTCGATAGAACGGCTGGCATTGGCAAATGAACCTGAGTGACAGGACCGGGCAGGGATGCCGAGTGGCACTGGGCACTCCACATAGTGGAGTTCAAGGGTTGTCCAGCCACCAGCACCACCTCCACATGCAGGGCTAAGAAAACAGTTTTCAAGCACGTGGGTATGGTTTTCAAGGCAGGTAGAAGAAAGAGGTGCACGAGGTAGAAAGGGTACAGCCTCATCTGCTGCTACCTCCACAGTGAGGGCTAGGGGACAACTCCCACTAAAGCCACCAAATAAGGCAGCACTAAACTTTGTGTAAAGACAGGTGGGCTGAGAACCGGCACAGGGCAAGTGAAGAGAAATGAGTGATGCCCTCACGGCAGACTGTAATCAAACCTACAAGACCCATTTACTCTACATTCAGCAGCAAAACGAGTTCCAAAAAGCACCAGGAACAAGGATTTCTGCTTTAAGAACCCCAAACTCTTTGAAGCCAAGTCTGGGAAGGAGGGAGACAAAGTCTCAGAAATACAAAAATCCTTTGCTGACTGTGATTACATGAGACTCACGTCTCCTTCCCTTTTTCCTAAAGACAAAATAATCCCTATCTTATAAAATGGTTCAAACATTTCAGATATATATAATACAGAAGATGGAAGTCCCCCAAAATACAATGTACTAAAGTGGGATAATGGGACACAGCTGGCCTTTTCACCCAACGGGTAGCCAGGCAGTATGCACTTTGTTCCTGTTATCAGCTTCTAGAGTTTTCCACTGTGTATACGGAAAGCATTGCATCAATCTTGCACTGGAGAATATCTGAGTGTTTGCAAGTTTTTTGCATTTCCAAACAGTGAGGCAATGAAAAACACTGCCGATTTTTATAGACACCGAATGTTTTAGCAGAGAAATCTGATACCACCAGAGGCCTTCGAAGTAACGATTGGTTCCATTTATTGAGCACTTACTGTGTGTGTCCTAATAGTGAGAATGCATTTTATCCTCACAACCCTCTGAGACAGGTATGATGGTTACCCCCACGTGACAGATGAGCAAACTGAGGCTCAGAGAGGCTAAAATGCTCAGAGTCAGAGGGCTAGGAAGGGGTGAGGCTAGAGACCGAAACCCTGCATGCACTTCACGCGTATGATTATTGCAACCATGCGGCCACGCGGGTGTGACAGAGGGTAAGGAAGGGGTGGGGGGTGCGAGATGGAGCCCAAGGTGAGGTGAGGCACTGACGGGGGCAGAAGTACAAGCACGTGTGGGAAGAAAACATGAAAATTACTCTACTCTTCTGAGCTGGAAAGATAGAACTGCCCCTGCAAAGCAATAAGGCAACGTCCTGCATTATATCTCTATGACGGGGCTTCGGAAAGTCGGGTGAGGGAAGCTGGTCCAGCTGACTGCCGAGGGGCTGCAGGTGGAAATAAACGCATCTTTCTCGATGCCCTGGTTGCACAGGTCGGCTGGGAAGTGGGACAGCAGTGAGGTCTCCAGCCTCCACGTCTGGATGACTGGGGCCAAAGTCCCACTGTCCCTTCGAGAGTAGCAGCACCCTGGAAAGTCCTAGCACCGCCTCAGTTTCCCCCTCTGCTCAGTGGGGATTTGAACACTTGCTCTTGTGATTTTTTTGAGCATGAAATAAGATGTGCCTCCCTGCTACCCACTAATCCATGATACTTCTGTTTCTTTTTAGCCACTGTCACTCTATCTTCTGCACGTGCGCCCAGCCCCCGTCCCTGCACGCGATGGACACTGAGTTGCTATGCCTGGATGTTGTGAACCTGCTCCCTGCTCATAAGCAGCTGGGCCCAGCAGTACGTCTCAGATCAAGAGGCTGGCTCTGCCCACCAACTGGCTGTGTGACCTTCGGCAAGTGTCTCAACCTCTCTGAGCTTCAGTTTCTTGTATGGAAACTGGCAGTCATAATAGACCTACATCCCCCATAGGACTGAAATGAGGATCGCATGAGTTAATGCATGAACAGTGCCAGGCACATGGTAAGCACCTTAGACATTAACAATTTGTGTTACTACTAATCCACTTAAATAAAATGTATTTGAGAACCTTTTGTATACCAGTCAGTGTTCTAAGTGCTGCAGGTACAGCAGTGAACAAAACCAGACAAACCCTGCCCTTACGGAGCTTAGATTCTAGGGGAAGACGCAAACAACTAAATATAATATAATGTCAGGTAGGGAGCAGTGCAGGGAAGGGCATTAAAGCAGGGTGGGGTGAGCAGATGTAGGGTGATTAAGAAAAGGGGTCACATTGTGCTGTTCACTGAAAGTTTCTGCTTCTCCTTCTGGACACTTGTCACTGGCTTTGGCCACGAAACGTGAATGGAAGTGATCGGTGTTACTACCCGGTGGGACTGCAAAGCCACTGTGTGATTCTCCACACTCCCGTCCCGTGGCCACTGTGACAATGAAAATATAAGTAGAGACGGAGCCTCAGTCAGCCTGGGCCTCTAAGTGACCACCAGAGCCCTCAAGGGATGACACCAGACATGCAGTGTGTGTGAGAGATGAGCACTGGCTGTGCCTGAACTTGGAGAATTGGGGCCTGTTTGTTACTGCAGCAAACTGAGCCTGATCTAAAAGTCCTTAAGGGGGCACTTGAGCAGAAGCCTAGGAGCAGAAGCCTAGAAGCAAGCCACAGGACGATGTGTGATGTGTGGGGAGTGCTGCAGGCAATGGGAACAGCAGGTGCAAAGGCCCAGAGACAGGAGTGGACGGGTGGATTTCAGGAACAGCACAGAGGCTGGTGTGGCTGGACCAGCCCCAGCAGGGTCCGTGTGGCAGGGGAGAGGGGGCCTGATGATGTCCTTGTGGTCACTGTAAGGCCAAGCACAATGATTATTGGTGTCTGGGGAGGGGAGGCTCTCCAAACCAACCAGCACACCTGTCCTCCCTGACCTGTTTCCAATCCTGCCTTTCAAAAGTCACAAGGAGGGCTTCCCTGGTGGCGCAGTGGTTAAGAATCCGCCTGCCAATGCAGGGGACATGGGTTCGAGCCCTGGTCCGGGAAGATCCCACGTGCCGTGGAGCAACTAAGCCCGTGAGCCACAACTACTGAGCCTGTGCTCTAGAGCCCGCGAGCCATAACTACTGAGCCTGTGTGCCACAACTACTGAAGCCCGCACGCCTAGAGCCTGTGCTCCACAAGAGAAGCCACCGCAATGAGAAACCCGCGCACCGCAACAGAGAGTAGCCCCCGCTCGCTGCAACTAGAGAAAGCCTGTGCGCAGCAACGAAGACCCAATGCAGCCAAAAATAAATAAGTAAATTAAAAAAAAAAAGTCACAAGAAGAAGATGCAGCCCTTGGTGCCCATCCCGACCCTCCATGCAGGCAATGGGTTGGAGCATCCTGTTGGACCCTCCCCCAGCCCAGGGGCTCTCCTCCCTGGCCAGGGACCTTCCAGCTGGCCTCACATTTGGCTGTGGGTCCTCATCTGTTTGGGGCTTGGACAGACTTTCTGAGCTGCTCCTCTCAGCACCTGTCTGTTTGTGACAGTGACTCTCTATGGCATGAGCCTCCCAGGGCTGCTCCGTTGGTCCAAGCCTCTGTTCAGCTGAGTTTCTTTCTCTGGTTATTTCTCCAGTGAACAACCGGGGCAGAGGCAGGGTTCTGTGGTATTCCCACGACTCCCAATACCTGTACCAAGACCTAACAGGATGCAGAGATAATGAGGGGAGGAATGAGCGCGCTGTGATCTGAGCAGAGCACGTGTGAGGTTCTGGAATCTCCATGCAGAAGCTGCATCCTTGCTGCAGGCGCCCACAGTGCCCACGGCACCCAGAGGCACGGACGGAGCTGGCTGCTCTAGTGGACATCTGCCGGCTTTGCCCCCCAGCATCCAGACCCTTCTCTGCTACTCACGGCACCCCAGCAAGCACCTAAAAGACCCCAAAGGACTATCCCTTCCTCTCTCAGTTCAGGCCTACAGCCCCGTGCTCCCCTCCCCTCCCCTGTGCTCCACGTCCTAGAAAAGGTACATGGCAGAGGCCTGACCACTGAATTTCTTGTACCCACCCCACCCCCAGCCTTTGTGACTGGCTCTGCGGTGGTCATGTGACCCAAGCTGGGCCAATGCTATCATCCCAGGACTCTTAGGGGAACCATACAGGAAAGATGGGATCACTCTGTTTGGGATAACATGGCAGGATGTGAGCTCACAGCTGCTGCTAACCATACCAGCCACCACGTGGGAAGAGCCTGCCTGAGAATGAAGACAGCAGAAGAAAGCAAAGTGGAGGGATGGAAAGATGCAGATTTCTGAAAGTAGTCAATAATATTTGAGCTCCTGCATCCAGCTAAGCCTGAAGTCCCTGGACTTTGGGGTTAGGTAGTTTGTGTTGCTTTCCTGTCACTCCCCATCAATAGCGCCTCAACTGATTCACACATCAGTAGACGGACGTCAGGCACTGGGGTGTGGTGGTGGAAGGAACACTGCGCAGGATGGAAAATGAGAGGAGACAAGCGTGGGAGCAGTGGGCAAGGAGGGCTGAGAGCTTCATGCTTGTGGTGGTTCTCTGTGTCCCTATGCACAGATGCCAAAGTCCTCACCACCGCCTACACAGCCCTGTGGCATCTGGCCCGTCGTTACCTGTCGGGCCCCATCTCCTCTTTCGCCCCACTCGCGTCCTCCGTTCCAGCCACACGGCCTCTGTATCCATTTTGTCTGCTGTGTAACAAATCACCCCCAAAGTTAGCAGCTTAGAATAACACCAACTTATTAGCTCACAGTTCTGGAGGTTGGAAGTCCAGCAGGTCTGACTGGGCCCTTCACCCAGGCAGAAGTCAAGGTGTTGGCCAGCTGTGCTCTTGTCTGGAGCTGAGGGTTCTCCTCTGAGCTCCTGCTGGTAACTGTCAGAACTCCGTTCCTGTGGTTGTAGGACTGCAGTCCCCACCTCCTTCACAGTTTTCAGCTGGGGGCAGCTCTCAGGTCCTAGAGGCCACCTTGCATGTGCCTCCCTCCACCTTCAGCAAGCAACAGCACACGGCATCTTTCCTGTGCTTCAGTCCCCCTTGATTTCGCTGCCAGAGCCAGAGAGAGCTCTCTGCTCTTAAAGGGCTCAACTGATTAGACCTGACGTACCTGGCTCATCTCTGCATCTCAAGGTTAACTGACTTGGGACTTTAATTACCAATGCAAAGTCCCTTTACAGCAGTAGCTGGATTCGTGTTTGGTCGAATGACCACAGGCTGGAATCTTGGGGGGATGCCTTTAGAATTCTGCTGACCACAGCTTCCTTGTTCCTCAAACATCCCAACCAAGCCCCCCCGCCCCCGCAAAGACTCGCACTTGCTGTTCCCTCCTCCAAGAAAGCTCTCCCTGCAGGTGGCCACGTGGTCCACCCCTCACTTCATTCAGGTCCCCGTACAAACGCCACCTCCTTCAGAAGCCTTCCCAACCTCCCATCAGAGTCATCACCCCCGTCACTCTGCAGCCTCTTAACCCTGCTTCGTTTTTCTCCCTAGAGCTGAAGTGCTCTCACAGATTTATTTGCTCTGTCTCCCCCGCTGGACTCTAAGCCCTGGGGACAGGGACTTTACTTTGTTTGCAGCATCTGGCACAGAGCAGATGCTCAATAAATGTTTGTTGAATGAAAAAGAAGAGCATGTTTCTTCAATTTCTTAATGGTCTTAAGTAGTCGCCCCGAGGTCATTCTCATGTTCGTCTGCCAGTCCTGGCTCCACGGGAAGCAGAGTTAAGCTGCGGCTGAGAGCCCAGGCAGCAGAGCCAGACTGCCTGCCTCCATGTCATAAGGGCCGCCCCCCACTTCATCTGTGACACAGGGAGAATTTTTGTACCTGCCTCACAGGGTGTCTGTAGGTGCTAAACGAAAGAGTCCAGGTGAGGTGCCTGGCACCCACATTAAAACCCTAAAGTGGCACAGCTTCCTACCCTCAGACAGGCAAAAAATAAAGAATGCTGACACGATCAAGGGTTGGCAAGGATGTGTGTGCAGGGGCTTCCACTGAGACTGCACGGCAATGCAATCACTTCGAGATTAAAAGAAAAAAAAAAAAGTCACAAGGAGAAGATGCAGCCCTTGGTGCCCATCCCATTCCACCAGAATCTAGTGGAAGTGAAGAGAAGGAGCCTGTCCTATTCCTCCTGGGAGGCAAGCACAGGACTCCTGGTAATGACACTGTTTGCAATCACATCTACCAATATATAATGCTTATACCGATATGATCTGACCGGCACACTCACAGATGCTGCTAGCAAGAATACAGCTGCAGTTGATGGCCAGACATGAGAGTAAGAACGTTACATACATAATCTCATTTCATCTGTATCTCCATTTTACAGATGAGAAAATGGAGGCTCAGAGAAGTGTAAATTACTTGCTCAAGGCCACACACGGCTGGGGAGTGGCAAAGTTCTGACCCACGCCCTAGATGGTGGATAGGGTGGGGAGGGGAGGAGAGGCAGCGGGTGGAAGGAAAACAGCAGAGAAGACAAAATGACAGCATCAACACACCACAAAGAGCACTCTCTTCTGCCAAATGCTAAACAGAGCTACCACACGACCCAGCCATTTCACTCCCAGGTACACACCCAAAAGAAAGGAAAACACACACCCACACAGTGTTCATCCACAGGAATGTTCACAGCAGCATTAGTCATAAAAGTGGAAATGATATAAGTCCCTCAACTAATAAATGAATAAATAAAATGTGGTATGTCCACACAGTGGAATACTATTTGGCCATAAAAAGGGATGCAGCACAGATACATGCCACAATGTGGGTGAACCTTGAAAACATTCTTCTGACTGAAAGCGGTCAGTCACAAAAGGGCACACAGTGTATGATTCCATTTACATGAATTCTCCAGAACAGGAAGATCTATAAAGACAGCAAGTAGATCAGTGGTTGTAGGGGCTGGGGGAGGGGAGAATGAGAAATGACTGCTATCAGGGGCAGGGTTTCTTTAGAGAGGGACAAAAATATTCCAAAATCAGATTGTGATGATGGTTGCACACTCTGGGAATATACTATAAAAACCATTGAATTGTATCCTTTAAGAGGGTGAATTTGGGGG